ATTATTTTCCAACCTAGGTCATAAGCTATCTGTGTGCAAACTTTCATGCAAATCAGATCAGTAATTTCCAAGTATTAATTTAATTAAACTTTTCTAACAGGTGCCAACTCTTAAAATAGTAGCCTATTTTCCAACATAGGTCATAAGCTATCTCTGTGCGAAATTTCATGCAAATCTGTTCTGTCGTTTCCGCGTATTAATTTAATTAAAACTTTTTAACAGGTGGCAACTCTTCCAAAAAATTAGCCTATATTCCAGTGTAGGTCATAAGCTATTTGCTTGCAAAATTTTATGCAAATCCGTTCAGACTTTTCCGCGTATTAATTTAATTAAACTATTTTTGCAGGCGGTAACTCTTAGAAAAGTAGCCTATTTTTCAACCTACTCATAAGCTATCTGTGTGAAAACTTCCATGCAAATCAGTTCACTCATTTCCTCGTATTAATTAAATTAAACATTTCTAACGGGTGGTAACTCTTAAAAAAAGCAGCCTACTTTCCAACCTAGGTCATAAGCTATCTGTGGTCTATTTTCTACTGTAGGTCATAAGCTATCTGCTTGCAAAATTTCATGCAAATCCATTCAGTCGTTTCCCCGTATTAATTTAATTAAACTTTTTTAACAGGTGGCAACTCTTAATAAAAGTACCTTATTTTGCAATCTATATAGATCATAAGCTATCTATGTTCAAATTTTCATGCAAATCCGTTCAGTCGTTCCCGCATATTAAATCAATTAAACTTTTTAACAGGTGGAAACTCTTAAAAAAATAGCCTATTAACCACACTGACCCATAAGCTATCCGCGTACAAAATTACACGCAAATCCGTGCAATCGTTTCCGCGTGATGATTTCCCAAACATCCAAACATACAAACTTTCACATTTATAATATAAGTAAGATTAGTAAGATATGATCTCAGATTAAACCGGTAACTTTTTGGTGTCCAACCCAGTTGTATCGATTACACTTGCGAAGAAGAGGAGGAATGTCAAATGTAACAGTAAACAAAAAATGACGCTAGCAAGGAAAAGAGGTTTGTAAAGGTATTTTTAATAAAATATTAAGTTAAAATATATTTAAATAGCATAATATGTGTAGCAGAAAAAAGTGACCTTGGTGGCACCGAGAAGAACCTTAAATTTTCCTCGAGTTGTGAGAATAACAAGCACAACTAATTTGACAGCTAACGAGCTTTGATTGATATTAGTGGAATTCGCGCTTCGGTGTATTCGCTGTTTCCTACGTAAATGTAACTGGACGAGCGTGTGGTTATTGTTGCATGTGTATTTGATGTACCGCTAGCAACAACAAATCATACAATTACACAACATACAACGAATACACAGAAGAGCGAATTCCCCTATTATATTTATATGTAAACGTACTTTTATGCTTTGCCGTACGCATATGTTTACACATCAGTCTACATGAGTACCTTGCACTCACCCTTTTTTGTTTTCGTCGCTACCCAATAAACACCAAAAAAATATATCTCCAACCTTGGAGATATTCATAGTTCTCAAGTTGATATCCAACATCATTCTCTAACTCATCTCTAACCGACTCGCAGATACGTAAAAAGTGATAGAGAAACAAAATTTTTAATTATCAAGTGAAAAACGAAAGGTATATAAAGAGGAAAATTACCAAAAAAGTAAATAATCCTCAAAATATCCTCAAATAATCTTGAAAGAAAATAAATCGCGAAGTGAATCAAGTGGAAAAATTACTGTCGGACTGTATACTGTGAAGCGAATTATCGTAATACGATATTGATTAACTACATAATTAAAAAGAAGTAATAAAATGAAAAATTAATATTTAAATTCGTCTATGTATGTCGTTTCAATCAAAAAGGTATAAGTTATTTTACTATTTCAATTTCAGTATTTCAGTGATATGTTTGAGACCAATTGGAGGATTACATTGGAGTTCAAGTTGAGAACTAGCATTTTCTCATCTTTAGAAACAGTCCTTTTTTCATACAAAGAAAAATTCCCTTTTTGTTGAGAACGCTTTGATCCCCACTTGAGGTACTGTTGAGAAACAACGTTGGAGATTTGAGAAATATCTTAGTTCTCAACTTAACCTCAAGTTGAGCTCAAGCCTAAATGTTTGTTGGGTATGCTCTTTGTCACTTTCTTCGCTTTTCGCTATGTGCTGCCACATTGAAAAATATAGGTTTGTTTGTTAAATAGGATAGTCTCTCCCGCGTAAGGTATGTAGGTTTTTTTTTATACCTTGACAACGGTATATCCATTTGAATCGGTTAATTACCAGAGGTAATAAAGGGAACAATTTTAATACAGATCGGTTCGTTTAAACTTTAAACTTTAAAACATCTATGTTGAACTGCGCCAAGAGCAATAACCGTAACTTAGTTGTATAGAAAACTGCATGGCACTGTCATAAAAAAAACTGCCACTCAGCACTTGCAGCCTATCATGCTAAAATTTAATGGGCGATAAACCCACACGCTAAATAATTCTGGAAAATCTTTAAAAAAAAGTATAAGAGAACCATAATTTGAGAGATTTTTCGAAAATCTGAGGCTTATGTTACAACATTTTGCCACACTATTCGAATTTCGAAATCGAAAAATTGATATATTTTCGGTCCACCCTAATATGTATGTAGGTACATACATACGCAGCGTTGGCGAATTGACGATTTCGTCGTCATTTTGACATTTTTTTAGCTTAATGACGTTTTGACGATTTTTCCCTCCAGATCACAATTTTTATACCCGAGTGCACTTGAGCACAAGGGTATTATAACTTTGTTCACATAACGGTTGTTTGTAACAGCCCACAACGACTCTAGATAGATATAAACAAATGTATACATAAATGATCAGAATGAAAAGAGAAGTCGATCAAGTCATGTCTGTCTGTCCGTCCGTATGTCCCACGCCCACTTCCAATATAACGCTAACTGCGATATTTTAGTAACTACTGAAACTTATTCACTGAAAATTGATATTTACAATGATTTTTAGACGTAAAATATGAATATTTAAATTTTTTGGAAAATGGGCGTAGCCACGCCCACTTATGATTACATGTGTATATTTTGGTAACCACTACACCAATTTCTCCCAAACTTGGCACAGTTGATAGCTTTGGTACAACATACCAATCGGCTGAAAATTTTGAAAATCTGACAATAACCACGCCCACATCCCATATAATGATAATTTAGAGAAATACGAAATCTTCGATAAATCAGTAAATACAGAAGTTAATATTTAATGGTCGTGGCACCGCCCACTTATGACCAGGTATGTATATCTCGGTAACCGTTCGATAAATATGTACCAAACTTGGTACAACTATTTCGCTTACCACATAAAAGCAAAACGTTAAAAATTATTGAAATCGGACTAAAATTACTTCCAATTTTCATACAACGGTAAATTTCAGAAATTTTTGAAACTTCGACATTTCGAAATTCAAGGACGCTAATTTACTCAAAATTGATACTAACAACAAACCCTTGAAAATCGGAGATGTTTTTTGAGGTTAGAAAAAAATTTAGATGTGATGAAGCAAAACGGACTTCAGATTCGTGTTCAGGGACCCCAAACGTATAACAGACTAGGTTTGGTCAAAGGAACCTTTCATCGATTTTTTTTTGTGGACCTGTGTTATTGTAGAATTTGGGAAAGTGGGTGTGATACCGCCTACATCTAACTATGCAAGTTTATCTCATTAAGGGCCGGTTGTTCAATGTCTACTTCCCGGTTAGACACCATTATCGACGTTTTTGACATCATGCATATAACATGTGATCGATAAAGCAGTCGTTGAATTTAAGCGTAGCTTCTACTTCCGATTTGTGCTTATCAGTCATTGAATAACCGGCATTAAGTATAACTGAACACAATATCGACATTGTTAGAAATATGGGTAGAACCACTCTTCTTACCATGTTACGGCAGTTTTCAGAAAGGTGAAAGGTGTTCGGCTCCACCCAAACTTAAACTTTTTTACTTGTTTATTTTAGTTTTTTTTTACTTAATTACAAATGCATGTAAAATTTGTTTAAAGGAAAACGTAATCGAAAATACAACCATTATTTATCTAGTTTTTACTACCGCCGTGCTTTTAGTTATATTAAATTTGTTCTAGAGTTGTAACTAATTCGTTAATTTGCCCTGCTGACACTGATTTGAAAGATACAGAAAAATAGCAGAGGGAATCTGTTCAGTCAATATTATCTATCGGTTATTAAATGGTAATGTTACACTTTAAAACTGGAACAACATCTCTATAAACTTCAAACCAGTGGAGCTCAACAATTTAAAAGCAGTTGTGTTTTAAAATGCAATTATAATTTTTCGTTAACAATTACAAATCCACGTTTGTTAACCCATAAGCAATCTGGTTTCCCTTTGGTTTGGTAATGTGTGGTCATATTTATTGTATGTAATTTATGTAATTTTGTTTGTATTTTTTAATTCGGTTAAAAAGTGACATAGTGAAAACCAGCCTTAAGGCTATCTGCACGCTTGTCGTCCAATCATGGTTGCGTTATCGTCTCGCCGTGAAATTTTAAGCCGAGCACATGAATTTCAATGGAGGTCTGCACACTTGTGTAAAATTCAATAAATGTGCGAGTTTAACTATCAAATATGACAAAATTGTAAAAATTCCTTGCATGCGTGCACAAAACACATTGCAGGAAAAGAAAGAAGAGAGATTAATGAAAAATTATGTCTAGAATTTTTGCAGCACAGTTCATTTTAAAATGGCAGGTTTCTTTAAAAATATCGCGAAAATATCAACCAAAAAATCATAAAACACCTGCTCTAAACGAATTTTTAGACGACAAATGAATTGAAATATCACAACCGCGTATGCAAAAGTGTAGTCGTCATGTAATCTTTGCATCATGATTGTGACGATGAAGAAACTATGATTGTACGACCAATGTGCAGAAAGCCTAACTGTGTAAAAGGGAAAACGCCGATTTGATCATGTTTGGAAATTACCCATTAGCACACCAGCCGCTGCTGGTGAATTTTCCTGTCGGGTAACTACGTGCCGCCAATAATAAAGCAACTCAAAACTAATTTTAGGTTTACTTATCTACAATGCATGTGTAGCAAAAACCGCATGTGATCGCGGCGCGCCGGTTGGATTTGTGAAAAGTCAGAATCAAGGCACTGAGATGAGGCATGCACTGACACAATGCCTCAACGCATCAAGGCGGAGCGGCGAGCAACAGGCAAACCAACTAAAAGCAAGGCAACACATCGCAGTAGATCTTGTAGAGTTTCACTAGAGTCTACGAAGAGTAACTCAGTTCAGTTGAGCATTGGACGGCGGAGCAAGCGCACGGATTACTTCGGATCGAATTGGATTGCCAAGGTACGGATCGGTTCGTTAGTGGCGAAGCAAAGAAAAACTAAAAAGGTTCAAAGAAAAAGTGATATTCAAGAATTTGTATTTGTATGTGTGGGTGTATGCTAGTATCGGTCTCTAGCTGTCTGCCAGGCAGTCATACAAAACGACTGTGGCTCCATGATGAAAAATAAAACGCGCAAGAGTATCTAAGAAATTATTAAAGTGAATGTTAAACCCATCAAAATAAATCAAAAGAAAAATTAAATTTTTAGGCGCACCGTTTTTGGAAATTCGAAGCTGGAGAGAAACTTTTTATGCTAAAATACAATTTAAAACAAAACTCTTCAGCATATTAAACAAGCTCATGTATACGACTACAAAAGCAATATGTACTTATGGACACAGAACAAGTTTGTATGTTTAAAAAAATGTCTCCAATTAGGTACATATCATTAAGTTCGTAGAACCGAAATTTCGTTTAAACCAAAAGCAAATACAAAATATCAAATAAGTGAGAAATACGTGTATACATATGTATGAAGAACTGCAGTGTAATTACATAATTATGTTTTTATCTTGCAACTGGAAAGCAGCCGTGAATTAGTGTATTTGACTTCCCGTGCATTTGCTCTGAATCTGTATTGAGTACGACGAGCGAAGTGAGTAGTCAAAGGGAGTTAAGGACATCTGATCGAGCGCTAAAGTGTCAAAACTTATCGACTACCTGTGCAACGAAGAGAGCCAGCTGACCGTCAATAGGGCGAGACACTCGACAGGAAATTGTGTAAAGGTGTAAAACGATGTGAAAAAACCCCAAAACAGATACAAAAGTATAGAGCAAAACAAATTACGAAATACAAAAGTAGATAATAATAATAGATTGGCGCTTACACATATGTTAGTGTTTGGCCGAGCTTCTCCTCCGATTTGTGGCGTGCGCCTTGATGTTGTCACACAGCGGAGGGACCTATAGTTTTACCCCGACTCCGAACGGCGATTGTATTTTTATGAGAAGCTGTTTTTCATGGCAGAAATACACTCGGAGACAAACAAAAAAATTTCAGGTAAAAGTGTCACCGTTTTTGAAATATTTACATTTTTTCGAATTTAAAAAAAACGTGCCTTTTCATGTATTTTCTTTAACTGCAACTACAAACCGGGCAATACTTAGTAAATTTTTTATGTAAAATACTTCCAGATAGTTGCCTCTCCATACTCAAATGCAATGTAGTTAAAATATATTAAGGAACCATCATAAAATTAGGACTATTTCTGGATTTTTAACTTTTTGATATTTTCTTCCCCAACTTTGACTATCTCGGGTGAAAAAAAATACTGAGCTATAACTTTACATTACATAAAAAAATTGCTCATTTAATAAAGATTTCAGAAAGGTGCCACACTTACTGTTTTGAATAGAAAAAAAAAGTTATAGCCGCTTTTGTGGGTAAAGGACTGAGACACGCTAGAATGTATTTAATATATTTAAATTGAATTTGCTCTTGTTACCGTCAAATGACATGCTAAATAGTACAAAGGTACATTATTACCTGCTCCTGACATTATTTTGTGTTACTTACCGGAATTCGGACTAGAGTCTATAACAAGGGCTATACCTATCAATATATTGTTTGAAGGATGGGTTCACGTGAAATGAGATATACATGAGTTGTTTGAAGAAAAATTTATTCATTTATTGATAAAATATGCTCAAATTGGCGACCTTCTACTCTAATACAAGCTCGGCACCTTTTAAGAAAAGACGCTTTTACAGATCTTAAACTCAATTGGGCTATCAGCAGCAGCTCCATTTATTTGTTCCCGAAAATGCTCTTCGTTTTGAATTATTTTTGAATAAATTTTGTCCTTAAGACCCAATAGAAAAAATCGAATGGATTCAGGTCTGGTGATCGAGCGGGCCACGTGATTGGCCCGTATCGTCCAATCCATCGGCGAGGATAAGTTTCGTCTAAATGAGCTCTTACTTCACGCCCGTAGTGAGCAGGGCATCCGTCATTTTGCTGCCATAGTCTTCGCCGCTGGTTTAAGGGTACATCTTCTAAAAGAGTTGGAAGCCGTTCCTGAAGGAACTTTAAATAACTGTGGGAGTTGAACGGTGGCGGCAGTTCCACAGGTCCCAATATCTGACAATTAAAAATACCGCACCATAAATTTATTTTGTACCGGTACTGCGAACGATCTTCTCTCATTTCGTGAGGATTGTATATCTGCCAACTGTGAAGGTTATGTAAATTAAAATAACCATCACGTTTGCATGATGATTCATCGCTCCAAATTATTTTATTAAAAAAGTTGGGGTCTGATTCATGCATTCGCAACATTTCACGGCAAAATCTAACCCTCGACAGGTAATCTCTTTCCTGTAGAGCCTGAACACGTTGAATGTGGTAGGGATGAAATCGATGGTCTTTTAAAGCTTTGTGAACTGTAGTTTTTGGTATTCCCGTCCGTCTTTCCATCATTCTCACTGAAGTCGATGGACCTAGTTCCACTTCCTCTAACACAGCTTCAACATCTACCGTTGCAGGACGTCCTGTTTCGCCGCCACGCCTTCCAGGTATGCGACCTTAAAAAAGTGAAAAATTATAGTTAACAAGCAAGCAAACAAGAAAGGTGTAAAAATCACTTACCTTCATATATTTCTCTATGGGTCCGGGCGAATACTTCTCGACCCGGATGTCGACGATTGGGGTATCGCTCTGCATAGAGTCTTTGAGCAGCTCTGGCATTACAGCAAGCTTCACCGTAAATTAGGTGAATATCCGCATATTCATGCGACGTATACTGCGTGTTCTCTGTCATAGTATTAATAACACAATGTTCGAAGGGTCCAATTTCACAAAATCCACTTTCACTAATTCCGGTAAGTAACACAAAATAATGTCAGGAGCAGGTAATAATGTACCTTTGTACTATTTAGCATGTCATTTGACGGTAACAAGAGCAAATTCAATTTAAATCTATTAAATACATTCTAGCGTGTCTCAGTCCTTTACCCACAAAAGCGGCTATAACTTTTTTTTTTATATTCAAAACAGTAAGTGTGGCACCTTTCTGAAATCTTTATTAAATGAGCAATTTTTTTATGTAATGTAAAGTTATAGCTCAGTACATTTTTTTTTCACCCGAGATAGTCAAAGTTGGGGAAGAAAATATCAAAAAGTTAAAAATCCAGAAATAGTCCTAATTTTATGATGGTTCGTTAATATATTTTAACTACATTGCATTTGAGTATGGAGAGGCAACTATCTGGAAGTATTTTACATAAAAAATTTACTAAGTATTGCCCGGTTTGTAGTTGCAGTTAAAGAAAACACATGAAAAGGCACGATTTTTTTTTAATTCGAAAAAATGTAAATATTACAAAAACGGTGACACTTTTACCTGAAATTTTTTTGTTTATCGTGAGCTCACCCCCCCACCTACCTTCCCCTGAAGTTTGGCACGTTACTTCTAGGACACCCTGTATAAGTTATTTGTTGTTAAAATTTCTTAAGACGTTCCACTTCGTTGCCTTATCAAAGAGTGCATTTGTCACATACTTTCATATATATAAATGCACATAACACTACCTAATGGTTTACACACTTTTATTTTATTTTATCTTCTATAAATCACTTTAATCCAACTTTTATTAACTTGTAATTACATTACATTGCACCCATATTTACAATCATGATACAATAACACATGGTTGCAAACTGACACATAAGATCTGTTGCCATACCGTACAAAACAATACAATAGAAAGAACTCTACGTAGTGAGGGTTATAATCCCTAAGTGCGGCCGCAGGCCGCCTACGTAGAAAGGTGTTCTCTGCAAAAGGTGTTCCGCCCCCTTTTCTCGGCAACACAAAAAGGAGAATTCTACGTAGTGAAGGTTATAAACCCTAAGTGCGGCCGAAGGCCGCCTACGCAGAAAGGTGTTCTCTGCAAAAGGTG